GACTAAAGGAGTACATTACCACCAAATCAGCATTGCAAGAAATATTAAAGAGAATGCTTCAAGAAGAAACTGAGAGACAGAGACAGAGAGAAACATTGGTATAAAAAATGGCAATAAATAAGTACCTATCAGTAATAACCTTAAATGTAAATGAATTAAATGCTCCAATCAAAAGACATAGGGTGGCTGAATGCATAGGAAAACATGATCCATATATATGCTGTCCATAAGAGACCCACCTCACAAGAAAAGATATATACAGACAAAGTGAAGGGATGGGAAATATTCCATGCAAATGTAAATAAAACAAAAAGCTGGGGTAGCAATAGGAAAATAAAGCCTGTAGCCCTAGAAGGCATGGCTCAGTTGGTTTGGCATTGTTCCATGCACCAGGATGCTGCCAGTTCGATTCCAGGTCAAATAGACATGCCCCAGTTGCAAGCTAGATCCCTGGTGGGGGGTTGCGCAGGAGACAGCTATTCAGTGCTGCTCTCTCACATCAATGTCTTTCTCTCTCTCTCTCTCTTTTCCTTCCTCTCTTTTGAAAAAAAATCAATAAACTCAAAACAAAAAAACAAGGCCATATTAAAAAGAAAAAAAAGTGCACTACATAATACTAAAAGGATCCATCCAACAAGAACTATAACCCTTGTAAACATATATGCACCCATTATATGAACACATAAATTTATTTTAAAAAAACCCTTGGTGGACTTTAATGAGAAAATCGGCAGAAATAAAATGACAGTAGGGAACGTCAACAACCCACTGACATCACTGAATAGATCTTCCAGACAAAATGTCAAAAGTAAAAAAAAGGAAACAGTGGCCTTATGGGACATACTATATCACATGAATTTACTTGATATTTACAGAACACTCCATCCCAAAGCGGCAGAATATAAATTCTTCTCAAGTGATCATGGAACATTCTCAAAGATAGTCTGCATGTTAGGACAAAAAAATAAATCTTAATAAATTTTAGAAGACTGAAATCATATCAAGCATCTTCTCATATCACAATGGCATGAAACTAGAAATCAACTACAATAAAAACACTCAAAAACATTCAAACACATGGAGGCTAAATAGCATGCTATTAACAATGAATGGGTTACCAGTGAAATCAAGGAAGAAATCAAGACCATCCTGAAAACAAACAAAAATGAATATAAAACAACCCAAAATCTGTGGAAAACAGCAAATGCAGTCTGAGAGGAAAGTTCATAGCATTACAGGCCTATCTCAAGAAACAAACCAAAAAAAAAAATGCTTAAATAAACAATCCAAGTTTACACCCAAAAGAATTAGAGAACAACAAGAAAAGACCAGAAGAAGTAGAAGGAAGGAAATAATAAAGACCAGAGCAGAAACAAATGACATAGACTAAAAAAAAAAATACAAAAGATCAATGAAACCAAGAGCTCATTCTTTTAAAAGATAAGCAAGCCAGGGCTAGTGTGGCTCAGTTGGTTAGACATTGTCCCATGCACCAAGAGGTTGTCAGTTCGATTTGCAGTCAGGGCACGTGGCAGGGTTGCAGGATGAATCCCCAGTGGGGGTAGTGCAGGAGGGGGGATATGGCCAATTGATGTTTCGCTCTCACATCAATGTTTCTCTCTCTACCCCTCCCTCTCCCTTCCACTCTATCTAAAAAGCAATAGAAAAATATCCCCAAGTGAGGATAAGAAATAAGTAAATAAGAACAAGACTGGTGAACCTTTAGTTAGATTTATCAAGAAACAAAGGGAGAGGACCCAAATAAATAAAATCAGAAATGAAAGAGAAGAAGGAACAACTGACATCACAGAAATACAAAGGATTATAACAAAATACTATGAACAACTATATGCCCACAAACTGGAGAACACTGGCAAAATGGATAAATTCCTAAAAACATACAATCTTCCCAAAGTCAATCAGGAAGAATCAGAAAACTTGAATAGGCCAATAACAGCTAATGAAATTAAAGCAGTAATCAAAAAACTCCGAGCAAACAAAAGTCCTGGACCAGATGGCTTCAAAGGCAAGTTCTATCAAACATTCAAAGGAGAACAAACACCTATCCTCCTCAAACAATTTCAGAAAACCCAAGAGGAGGGAGGACTTCCAAGCTCTTTTTGCAAAGCCAGCATTATCCTAATCCCTAAACACACTATAAAGAAAACTTCTGATGAACATAGATGCTAAAATTCTCAAGAAAACATTACAAATTGGATCAAGCAGTACACTAAAAAAGATCATACACTATGACCAAGTGGGATTTATCCTGGGGATGCAAGGCTAGTACAATATTTGCAAATCAATAAACATGATCTATCACAAACAAAATGAAGGATAAAAATCACATGATCATTTAATAAACACAGAAAAAGCATTTGACAAAATCCAACACCAATTTATGATAAAACTCTCAGCAAAGTGGGAACAGAGGAATCATACGAACATAATAAAGGCCATATATGACAAACCTACACCAAACATCATACTCAATGGGCAAAAACTAAGTGTTTGCCTTAAGAACAGGAACAAGACAGGGATGTCTACCTTCACCATTCTTATTCAACATACTACTGGAAATCCTAGCCACAGCAATCAGACAAGTAAAAATTAAATAAATAAAAGGTATCCAAATTGGAAAGGAGGAAATAAAACTGTCGTTGTTCACAGATGAAATAATACTGTACATAGAAAACCCCAAAGGATTCCATCCTAAAACTGCTGGATTTAATAAATGAATTCGGCAAAGCAGCAGGATACAAAATTAACATCCAGAAGTCAATGGCATTTTTATACACCAATAATGAACTGTATTAATACAAACAAACAAAAAAAAAATCAACCTATTTACCATTACAATAACAAAAAATAAGATACTTACTTGGGAATAAACTTAACCAAAGAGATAAAAGACCCATAGCTGGAAAACTATAGGACATTAAAAAAGGAAATTAGAAGACACAAAAAAGTGGAAGCATATACTATGTTCATGGATTGGAGAAATCAACAGCATTAAGATGTCCACACTACCCAAAGCAATCTACAGATTCACCCCAGTCCCTATTAAAGTACCAATGGCATTATTTCACAGATCTAGAACAAATATTTCAAAAATGTATATGGAACCAAAAAAAGACTACGAATACCCTCAGCAATCTTGAGAAAAAGAACAAAGTTGGAGGGATTACAACACCGAATACCAACTATAATACAAAGCCTGCTTAGAAACACTCAAAATGGGGAAAAAAATAGCCAAAAAAAAAAAAAAAAATACAGTGTGCAGGTATACATTGTCTATTCTGACACTCAAAACAAAGAAAGATGAAATGGGGAGGGAAGAAACAGTTCTCTCATTCACACAAGAAGCCAGGAGCATTCTAACTGAAATGCTAAGAAGGCAAACTCGATGAGGTGAGCATGCAATTCAAGACTGAGGAGTCTGTGAATATGAGCTGCTGAGGAGAGGCTGCTGTGAAGCCCTGAGGTACAGGCACCATAAGTCCAGAGGGTTTTTATTTAAATAGCCTAAATACACTGTTTTAGTTAGCCAACCACTGAGGGTAAATAAAAGTTTCTAACCAGATGGAGGATTTTGGTAAACCTAACCTGACCTAACCTAGATATACGATTTTGTAATTATTCTTAATTTTTCTAAATTATACTACTATGCTCAGTGCACTATTATAAATGTCATGATTAGCAAGGGGTTTATAATTGAATTCATTTTAATATTTCCCTCTTGATAAATGATTGTACCACATGCTACATATTTATATTCAGCTATCTGCTATGTTATGGATTGAGAATTTGTGACCTCCTCCCGCCAAAATGTATATGCTGAAATCTTAGCCCACTATGTCATGGTATTAGGAGGTAGAACCTTTGGGAGTGGATGAGGTCATGTGGGTGGAATCCTCAAGAATACAGTTAGTGCCCTGAGGACCCCAGAGTACTCCTCACTCCCTTCTGCCATGTGAGGGAGAGCAGCTGCCAGTCTGCAATCCAAAAGAGAGTCCTCACCAGAATCCCACTGTGATGGTAACAGACTTCCACTTTCCAGTACTGAGAGAAAATTTCTGTTGTTTATAAGCCACCAGGGTATATCATGTTCTGTTATAGAAACCTGAATAGACACAGCTATTAACAGGAGAGTAACAGTACAGGTATGTGAAGTTTCATCCAACTGGTCACATAACCACAAAGACAGGCAATACCACCTTTCCTTACCGGGAACCATCTAAATTGCTGGCATGTTGCCTACAAAAACAGTAAGGCATGAAACCCAAGCCTGATGGCCATCCCTGCATGCACTGCAGCCCTGACATCAGTCGGTCCATCTTCTCAAGATTTCCTGTGCCTAAAGAATGGGGATAAAAAGGCTTCAGCTGTCTCCATTCAAGGGAGAGAGAACTGAATTCCCTTTTGCTAATTACTGGCTTGATCATTAATATTCAATTTCACAATATCCTACCAGGTTGGTATATTCAAATCCAAACACTAGAGACTGCTGCATTTTGGATGCTGTGTGCAGTCACAGGTCTTTAAAAGTTTCAAATATTTATAATTTTGCTCTTTCAATGCATCTTGAGGTTTTAAGAGTGAGACAAAATTGGAATACAAATATAAGACAAACGCATCTTTTTTTTCTTTATTAATTTTAGAGAGAGAGGGAGGGAGAGAGAGAAAGGAACATCAATTGGCCACCTCCTTCATGCTCCGCACTGGGGATTGAGCCCGCAACCTGGGCATGTGCCCTGACCAGGAACCTCTTGGTACATGGGTCGACACTCAACCACTGAGTCACACTGGCTGGGCAACAAATACATCTTTAAAGTTGTAAGTTCTCCATTATAGATTAACAAATAATACAATTAGAATAAGTCAATTTCTTAAACAAATGAGGTACGATTACCTAAAATATAATTGTTTTTAAAAGAAAGAGTACACTGCATAACTTGGGGGAAAAAACTAGTTGATCTAAGGTTAGAATGGTCACCCACCTGTGGATTCTTCAATTTAGTAATAACTTTCCAAGCTTCATTGAGAATCTGAAGTCGATCACCCTCCGGAGGATCAGCTAAGGCCAGGTTTAACCCCAGTGAGCGAAAAAGAAGATGCTAAAAAAAGCAAAACCATTAAGATACCAGACATTTTAAATAAGAACAATTTCAGGCTAAAGCTGTCCCACTGAGCTCGCCCAAGGGCTAATCTTCCAATAACTCTTTATGAAATTCTACTGCAGACCATCACAAGGTAGACAGAGAAGGGCCAAGGGCAGAGCTGGCTCCTTGTATGAGGCTAACTGTGGGCCCTAATATCTTGCTGGACAAAGCTTTGCATAAATAAGGAGTAAAGATATATTTTTGGAGATGTAAGAGCAAAGTCTTTTCTAAATACTTCACAGTGAGTGAACTGTATGGACTCAGGGCTCACAGGAGAGCCCTGACAGGCAGCAATTACACATGTCCAACAACCCCAGCCTCAGACTCATCTTCCATCCTGTTCGTCAGACAGACAGCCCTCCCTTGCTCTCCTGTGGGACCCAGCTGCCCTGACACACACTTCCTCTCTGAAGAGATATTGAGTGAATACTGCCTACGTGTCCTCCTGCTAAGCATTAGGTCAAGAGCCTACCTTGGGGAAGCCGGCCTCATTGCACTCTTTAATCATGCCAATGAAATCTACGGACCTGGTGGCGATGAACTCGGCCCGGAAGGCAGACATCACAGAATTCAAAAGCAAGGCACTGCAAGACACACACGCCCACGTTGGCAGAGCCCCACCCATGGCCCATGTAGGCAGAGCCCCGCCCAAGGCCTGGAGATTAGCAGAGCCCTTCCACACACAGCCCCCCGCACTTTCCCCACACACAGGCAGAGCCTCTCCCAAGACAAGTTGCTGTAATTGTAGGACATACATTGCCCAGAAGGATTACTGACTGCCCTATAAGGTTTAAAAAAAAAACTAGAGTAAAAAGGCAACCTCTAGAGACTAACATGGTGTCTGGTGCTTAATAGAAACTTAATAAATGTTAAATTGACTAAATGAATGGATGGATGGATGGATGGATGGATGGATGGATGGATGGATTGGATGGATGGGTGGGTGGGTGGATGGAGGGACAGGTAAATAAACAAGCAGTCAACTCCATTTAAACAGAAGTAAATTCAACCTTCAGTAGGCTGGTACACTAATAAAACTAAACATTAAGTAACCATATTGATCCAAACTGCAAATATATATCCATTCATGTCTCTTATGAAAATCACTGTTCTGGGACACAGGGACCCAGAGACTTAGAGATATCTACCACCAAAAGGAGAGACGAGAAGATGAGTTTATTCTGACCCTACCAATTATCACAGCACCATGAGGAAAGGACTATTATTAAACCCATTTTACAGTTTACAGATAAGGAGACGGGGTCACAGAGAGGTCAAGCAAATGACCGAAGTTCACAAAACTGAGAGAGAGGAGAGTCAGGCATCTGGTTTCCAGCTTCCTGATCCCCAAGCACTCCTGCCCGCTGGCCCTCTTGCCCACAATGCCAAGCTCAAAAACAGCAACCGCCTCCATTTCCAACTCATGCCTTATTAATTTTAAAATACTTACTTGTTTCCTAGTTTCTTGCATCGCTCCATCATCTCAGTTAGCAGAATCTAACAAATTTTAAAAAATAATAAAAATCAACAGGTTGGAGAACCTAAAGCAACACCTCTCACCAAGAGATTTCCAAAGAAATAATCTAAAATAAATGTAGTTTCATGTCCACTTCCACAATCCTTACTGCCTGGAAGGGATGGGGAGCGTGGCAGAGACAAAAGTGGACTCCTGTGGCATTTCATACAATGGCTAAGAGGTGGGCCCTGGCATCAGGCACACTTGGGTTCAAATACCGTCTCACCAACTGCCAACAGGAAGACTTCGGGTCAGTCATCTGACTTAATTAAGCCTGGGCTTCAGTTGGCAGATGACACAGGTGGTGGTACCATCCTGCCTGCAGGGTAACTACAGGATGATGAGAGAGGTACTGATGAGAATGGAAAGTACTACCCATCTCTCCTAGGACTCCCCACTCCCTCCCCATCGCACCAGGTGCTGATGGAATTCTCAAACACCAACACTTGGCCTGCATCTGGTGCCGCCCATCACAGTGAGGAGTCCTCTGTGCTGTGCTCTCACCGCTCATGACCACCCAGAAGACAAGCCTCCCATTTCACACATGAAACACTGAGTACCAAAACACTGATGTACTTTGACCAAGGGGACACAGCCAGCTGCTGGGGCTGGGTGTGACCTCAGCCTCTATACCCTTCACCACAGTTCCTCTCCACAACTTCTGAAGCATACTTTCTGTCCCAAAAGAAAGTTAATGTTTTACTTGTTGGAGTAGTGTTAACGGCTTTAGAGCTATCTTAAGACAATTACAAATCTTTAAAGAGCTCCTGTTTGTTTGTTCTTTTAAATCAATGGAAGAGCCCTGGCCGGTTTGGCTCAGTGATTAGAGCGTCGGCCTGTGGTCCAGAGAGACCCAGGTTTGGTTCCTGCTAAGAGCACGTACCTCAGTTGCAGTTTGTCTCCGGCCCTGGTTGGGTCGTGCGGATGGCAGCCACTCGATGTCTCCCTTTCATGTCAATGTTTCTCTCCCTCTCTCTCTCTTCCTCTCTCTCCCTCCTGCTCTATCTGAACAAAAAATGAAAAAATGTCCTTGGGTGAAGATTAAAAAAAAAATTAAAAAAACAAAATCAATGGAAGATTTATTGTTTACAGCGGTGGTTTGGGGAGATCTTGAATGTCACAGACAAGGTCACCTCGTCATGCATAGGTGCACTTCCCACACTTTCTTACTTAGTCTTCATGACAGTCTCATAGGCTGTGTAAATGGTCCCCACCTTTACAGCACAGGGAGCCCGGGCTCAGACAGGTTCAGCCACTTCCTAGTAAGTGGTGAAAATGAGATGTATATTTAAATCTAGCCCCAAAGTCAAAAAGTAAAACCAGTCTTCGTGAGTGCAATACACCCTTTCCAATGGCATCCCACTATGTTGCCTGAATAATTAAGGTGATAGCTGACTTCGGAGGTATTGTTGGCACCACCACCCCCAAAACTCTGATTTTATTCATATTTATGTCCAACAAAAATCAGGCTGGGTCCTATTATGGACTAAATTATGCAACACCCTCCCCACCTCCATTTCTATGTTGAAGCTCTAACCTCAAAGGTGACTGTGTTTGGAGACAAGGCTTTTAAGGAGAGCCCAGGAAGGCAGATGCATGCAGAACAGACAGACGACGTGAGGACACAGTGAGAAGACGGAGGTCTGCAGGTGAAGGAGAAAAGCCTCACCAGAAACCAGCCCTGCTAGCACCTTGATGACAGACTTTCAGCCTCCAGAACCATGAGAAAATGTTTCTGTTGTTTAAGTCACCAGTCTATCATGGCAGCCTGCTGTGGTCTGAATGGTCACCTAACCAGCAGTGATGGTTTTAGGAGTTGGAAGCTTTGAGAGGAGATTAGGTCATGAGGGTGAAGCTCTCATGAATAGAATTAGGGCCCTTATAAAAGCAACCCAGGAACGCTCCTCTGCCTCTTCTGCCATGTGGTGACACAGGAAAAAGATAGCCATCTATGACCCAGGGTGTGGACCCTCATCAGACACTGAAAGCATCTTCACCTTGGATGTCCCAGCCTCCAGAACTGTGGAAAATAAATGTGTGTTGTTTATAAGCCACCCAGGTTGTGGCAGCTTGTGACTGCAGCCTGAACACACCAGGCAGACTAATGCAGGTCCAAAACGATCACAGTGGCCCACTCCCCACCAGTGGTAGGTTTAGACACAGACCCAGGACCATTTCTAGCTGCTGAGACAGGGGCTTCGAGGAAAGATTTCCTGTTCTTAAACATAAACGCAAGGAACTGGAGACTCCCATGTTTCTACCTCTGGAAGGACTGCAGCCACTTTGTTGCTCTCTGGAGACGGCACAGCAGACATGGACAGAACCGGCTGCCCCAAGCCGGCCCGTTATTCCAGAGAGCACCATGGATTATTTTGTAAGTAAGGCCTGTTAGGGTTGTTCCTTGCAGCCAGAAGCACTTCAGCTTATGATAAAATTGCTGATGTCACAAATGACTTCCCTAACCCACTCATGGAGCATTTCTATCTTAAAGGTCCTTCTCAGAGATCAGTATCAAAGTGGTTCCTGTGATAGGCTGAGAAAGAGATATCGTGTATAATTATCACACTGATACTCCCCAGCACACACAAATAATCACTCACTGAGCAATTTTATGTATCAGTCACTATTCTAGGCACTGGGGACAGGGCAGTGAGGAAATCAGACAGAAACCCATGGCCTCATGTAGCTTCCTCTCTCATACACATGCATGTATGTGTGCGTAAGTGTGCACAACACACAAAACATGCATAAACAAATTAGTGTCTTGGCCCACCACTTCTGCAAAGGTGAACTAGGGCAAATGCCAACACATGAACAAAATACTCTGGCCATTAAGACAAAACAAATGTTTAAAATGTTTTCTTTTTACAGGAAGTAAGCATGTTAAAAGTGAATCCAAGAATATAACTTTAAAAAAACAAAGGCTCTGTTGTCATACAGGAATATTAAGTGTCCAGGGAGCCAAATGTTATGGATCTCAGGCAGATCTGTTAGAGGTTACTAATTTTTTTCTGAGAAGCAACAGGATTAATTTTCTTTGGCAAGATTGAGATGAGAAACAGTTCAAACCAGACTGAGATGGAAACGAGCCTGCTGGCTTAGTGAACCAAGGACAAAGGTGCAAATCGGCACATCAGTACGCAGACACAGTAGGGCTGGGAGAGTCATCAGGCCCCTACATTTCCTTTACTTATATTTTAATTACAAAAATTATAAAAATGAGAAATGCTTTTGGTCAGAAGTTCGAACAACATTGTCGTGCATCAAGTAAAAAGGGAATGTCTTCCCGCCCAACTCCTACTTCCTAGGGGTTGCCAGTGTCAACACTATGGTGTTTCTCCCTAAACCCTTGTCTGTGCCCTGTAAAAATAGAGCTTTTGCTGGAAAAGTGTGAAGTTTTACACTGTTGTTGTTTTATAAATATAGAAAATCTTACAAATATTAAACTGCAACTTGCCTTTCTTACTCAACAATATAGCATGGCCCTTGCTCACCCCCATTAGGACACACAAATCTACCTCATTATATTTAATGGCCAAAGAATCCATACGTAAATATAACATTGCTGTTCGAGTTGCCCCTACTGAACAAATTTTTTATTTTTAATTTTATTTTGGTTACAGATTTACCCCATTGACACCATCCTCCCCATTCCGCCACCATCTCCCCAGCTTTGTCATCCCTGTCTACTGGTTATGTGTACATGCACATAAGTTCTGTGGTTTATCTCTTCCCTCCCCCACCACCCCCTCTTCTGAGGGTTGTCAGTCTATACCCTACTTCCATGTCTCTGGGACTACCCCGTTTCTCAGACTGTTATGTTCATTATATTCCACAAATAAGTGAGATCATGTGATATTTGTCTTTTTCTGCATGGCTTCTTGCACTTAGGATAAAACTTTCCAGGTCCCTCCATATCGTCTCAAAAAATAAGAGATCTTTCTTTCTTACAGCAGCATAGTATTCCATTGTGTATATGTACCACAGCTTTTTCATCCGTTCGTCTATTGATGGACACTTGGGCTGTATCCAGATCTTAGCTATTGTAAATAGTGCTGCTATGAACATGGGGGTACACATATTCTTTCTGATTGGTGTTTCAGGCTACTTAGGGTATATTCCTAGAAGTGAAATCACTGGGTCAAATGGCAGTTCAATTTTTAATTTTTTGAGGTAACACCATATTGTTTTTCATAGTGGAAGCAGCAGTCTGCATTCCCACCAGCAGTGTACTCGAATCCCCTTTTCTTCACACCCTTGCCAACACTTGTTTGCTGATTTGTTGATGGCAGCCATTCTGACAGGTGTGAGGTGATACCTCATTGTTTGTTTTAATTTGCATCTCTCTGATGATTAGTGAAGTTGAGCATTTCTTCATATGTCTCTTGGCCATTTGTATGTTGTGTTTGGAGAGGTGTCTATTTAGTTCCTCTGCCCATTTTTTAATTGGATTCTTTGTCTTCCTTTTGTTGAGTTGTATGAGTACTTTCTATATATTGGAAATTAACCCCTTATCTGATATATCATTGGCAATGATGCTCTCCCATACAGTGGGTTGCCTTTCTATTTTGGTGGTGGTTTCTTTCGCTGTGCAAAAGCTTTATAGTTTGATGTAGTCCCATGTGTTCATTTTCTCCTTTGTTTCTGTTGCCTTAGGTGATGTATCAGTGAAAATTCTGCTGCATATGATGTCCAAAATTTTGTTGCCTACATTTTCTTCTAAAATTTTTATGGATTCACAGATCACATTTAACCCATTTTGAGTTTATTTTTGTGTATGGTATAAGTTGATGGTCTATTTCATTTTTATGTAGCTGTCCAATTTTTCCAACACCATTTATTAAAGAGGCTGTCTTTATTCCATTGTATGCTCTTGCCTCCTTTGTCAAATATTAACTGAGTATAATGTATTGGATCCATTTCTGGGTTCTCTATTCTGTTCCACTGGTCTATATGCCTGTCTTGTGCCAGTACTAGGCTG